TAATATGTATTGTCACATTAATTCATTTTGAAATTGTTGCCGTTTCCATGTAAAATCAGGCATAAGAGTTTCTTCAACAAATGTTACATGGTTTGAGCCATCAATTAATAATATAGAATGTGTCCTTGTACCATATTCTTTTCCAGAAACAAAAATTGAACTAAGATTTTCATATCTTATTGGACATCGTTTTTGTAATTCGTCATCTGGTAGATATCTGTAACATAAAAAAAAATATATATATATATATATATATAAATGATAAATATTGAATTTAACTAAAATATATATATTTTTTAGTTGAATTCAAATGTATTAATACATGTAATGTTAGTAGTTAGTTTAGATTGTTTTAATATTAATATACATTTAGCATACCTTTTTTTTGATTTTAAGAAATAAATAAGCTTTTCAATTAGATCATCTTGTTTTGATATATCTACATCCTGTACAATATGTTTAAATTCTTCCTTTCCAACTTCTACTTTTTTGTAAGAATAATCTAATCCACTATTTCCAATACCTATAACATTACTGTTGCAGATTTTAGGTCCAGTAGATTTTGTACAACTACTCAGATAATGGACGTTTGCATTGCTGAAAAAATATTTAATAATTAATAAATTTAATAATATATCTGTTAATGTTAAATTTTAGAGTTTATTGCTGTTAAAATTAAATTAATAGAAAAAACATAAATAGAAACACACTTGAAAAAATTTATAATATTAACTACTATCTACTTACTTCAAATTTAATAAAACCAAACAATAAGGATTGTATGGTTGTCCATTAACATTTTCCTTGTGTAACATGTTCAAGTATGATTCTATAGAATCATTAGAAGTAATAAAATTACTTATCAAGTGACCACGACCCTTTTTTGGTGATCTTTCTTTTTCTGTTACATCTTCTCCATGTAGATTTAAAATAACAGCAGCTTTTCCTTTAATTGATAAAGCTAACCAAGTTCCTCCTTCCTTGCCAATTTCCATATCAGTACCTAAAATACTTCATGTGTGATAATTTTATTTAAATTTAAAAAATATATAAAATATTTGTATTACATTGGAGTATTTTAAGTTATGTAATATGTAAAGAGTTGTCATAATGTTATTGTTTCAGATAATTTGCCAATATTCTCATCGTACCTCCCAAACATTCAGGATTTTTTTCCCAATAGCGTGCTGATGATGCAGGACGTTTATATATTTCATCTCGATTTGATGCAATTATTAATCGATAAGATCTAACATCAGCATCTGGATTGCGATAAATAAATAAGATGCACATGGCTAATCAATATTCACACAATTGATCTTTTTCTTTAAATTATAAATTTTTATTTTGAGTTGAGACACTATCACATTTTGTTCATTGTTAAAGAGATTTAAGGAAGAACTTATGTTCGTTGGTATTTATATTGTCATATTTTTATTCTGTGATACTGATAACGTTATCAGATATCTTGATCATAAATTAAGATAATGTTCTATTGCACAACCTTTGGTGATATTTGCTTTGTTCTATTATAAAAGTGCTTGTTTACAATAAATGCAGATATGAAACAAGAAGGAAGTATTTTTTTGATGATACCTGGCGTTTAGTTAATATTTCATATTAGTATAATAAGTTAAGTTCTTTTACAAAAAAATATATCGTGCAAAACCATAGTATAAACAGAAAGCGTATCAATAGCAAATATTCATAAAAAAGGAAATGTTAAAAATAAATCAAATAATGTATAATTTGCATACGTTTTTTTTTCGAAAAAGTATATAAATATTATACGTTACATAAAGAATTGTCACAATTTTTTAATTCCATAAGGCAAATGCGTGTGTGTCAAATGTTTATTTATTATTTAGATTATGTTGTTAATGTTCGAAATAAATAATCAATTTATATAGAAGAATTCCGCGATTAAACTTTAACAAACTTTAACTTAACAAACTTAAACTTTAACAAATTTGTCTTTATTTTCTATTTAAATCTGAAATACAAGAACATTATGTTTGATTCGGATCCGACGTTGGAATCAGATTATTAAATATATATATGAATTTTTTTTGGTTATATGATAAAATAGTTACATTCAGTAGAAAAAGAAACTTATAAGCACTGTTTGCATTATGGCATTCATTGGATTATACTTTTAGATCTAAAGAAATTGTTCCATCTTATTCTATCTCATTGTCAATTGATGACATTTTTATTTTTCCTGCACATATATAGTATATACGCATAATCCAAGTTCTGATGTACACTGTCAGTACTGAAAATCTTCAATATACATAACGTGAACTATAGATTTTCAGAATTTGCAATATCGGAATACGGTTATAATAGATTCCTTTTACAATCTTAACAAAATTTTGTTATTTATAGAATTTAGATAGAATACGTATTCATATTCTTTTAATTCTTGTTTCCTTTTCTTCTTCTTTAACCTTTGGATTTAAAAATCCTACTGGATTTGAGTACTACGGTTTTTATAATGTTTCTGAACTTTTTATAATGTGGCAGAAGCTCAGAGAGAAGCCTGAGAGGGACCATGGTCGCAATTTCGATTTTTTTTCGGCGGTCGTCAGAACTACCGCCAGAACGTCCATTTTTTAAGTGGGAATTACACAGCTACGTCCATTTGACACTGCCGGTAAAATTGTAATGTCTGAGCTACGTCCATAAATAAAATGTAATATATAATTATAATAAATAATTATAATTATAATTACATTTTTAAGTAATTGTTATGTATTATATACGTAACAAAGAAATATATCTTTGTTCTTCTAAAGTGCTCTCAAAATTATGTTGCATTTACATATCATCTCTATAACCATGAAATATATCATTATTTTTTCCATGTGCTCCCTTAGTTATA